GTTAGGGGACAGGAAGCCAGAGCATATTCATACATGTTAGGCTTTTATCAAAGTCATCTCCAAGGTCGAATTACTGACCCCGCCCAGAATATGCAACCCCACAACAAGCTGACAAACTCCTGAGTATCTACTTACTGCTAGGTGAACAGTTGCAGTAGGTGAAAGGAAATGTACCCAACCATTTCTGTCCCGCCCAGGATTTGAACCCGGAATTCTCGATTGTGCATCAAGAACGAACACAACTGTACTACTGGGACCTCTATATATATATGGTGATATGTTCTATAATCTATATCATCAGAAAATCGGAAACATACAATATATTTTCAAATATTTGTCATTAAAGCATTTATTTTGGATACAGAGGTGTATTTTAGTTACCCTAATATAGAACACGAATATCATACTCATCCTGTGAGTGGTAGTTTATTGTGCACCCCATACACATCCTGTGAGTCTTTGTTTACGTGCACCCCATACTCATCCTCTGTGTGGTAATTTATTGTGCAACCCATACTCATCCCGTTACCAGTAGTTTGTGCAACCCATACCCATCCTATGACCTGTAGTTTAATGTGCAATCCATACTCATCCTGTGAGTGGTAGTTTATTGTGCACCTCATACTCATCCTGTGAGTCATATTACTGTACATTGTGCAACCCTTTCTCGTTGTGTGAATCTTTATTTACTGTGCTCTCCATACTCATCCTCTGCGCGATAGTTTCTTGTGCAACTCATGCTCATCCTGTGAGTGGTAGTTCATTGCATACCCTATACCCATCCTGTGTGTAGTAGTTCATTTGTACTCCATACTCATCAAGAAGTGTATTTTACCAGCATGGTAATATAAATCAAGAATAAAGGCCTAACTGGATTACGGATCCATAATCAAAATAAGAGCAATCACTAATTATCATGACAAATAGCCTATTATAGGCTCCACTTCCGCCTTCGACAAACTGCCGCCGGAGGTGGGTATACAGTAGTTTATTGTACACCCCCCGCACCCGCAGCCCGGGGAAGGGGGCATTGGAATGTGGACATGTGAACCAATACTCACCCCCTCTTCTTGTTAATAATAATAATACTAATAATAATAAAAATTAAATAATAATATTAATCAAAATAATAATGGAAAACTTAATGTAATACCCTAGTGCTTGAATGAAGGTGAAGGAAAGACCCTATAAATGTGTAAGTGTATTAAAAAAATTATTTTTGGATCTAACCTTCATTCTTTCTCAATGTGTTGTATACAATGATCTGATTATACCTATTCATTTCCAACTCCCTTTCTTGGAAGAATGACACATATGATCGTAATTTCTCCCTTGCTCCTAACGGGGAACAAGGGACCTAACGGGAATGGGAGATGAAGTCCTTCATGAAACGGACAGAGAGAAAGATCTTGGAGTTGATATCATGCCAATCCTGTCTCCTGAAACCCACATCAAAAGAATAACATCAGTGGCGAATGTAAGGCTGGCTAACATCACCACTGCCTTCAGAGACCTGTGCAAGGAATCAGAACCTTGTATACTACATATGTAAGACCAAACCTAGAGTATGCGGCCCCAACCATGGAGCCCATACCATGTCAAACACAAGACGAAGCTAAAGAAAGTTCAGAGGTATGCCACTAGGCTGATCCCAGAACTAAGGCATGAGTTACGAGGATAAAGATAAAGGTAGATAAAGAGCAATATCGACGTCCTCCCCCCCACCCACCTCCCTAAAGGTCGAATTACTGACCCTACCCAAGATGCAACCCCACAGCAAGCTTACTAACTACCGGGTACATACCTACTGCTAGGTGAACGGGAGCATATGGTAATAGGAAATTCGCCAAACCATTTCTGTCCCTACATGAATTCAAACCCGAAATTCACGGTTATGAGCAGAGAGCAATAGTACACCAAGAACTTCAACAAAACCTTGTAGATCTGAGGCAAAGTGAAATCGACACCAGTAATTCCATCTATCATCATACTATCATGCAAGAGGAGCCACACATCTGTGGTTCATCTAGTAAAATCAGCAGACTTCTAGATGTTACTACTGCTCGTCTCAGACTTGGTTACAAGTATCTCTGGGAATTCTCATTATCTGCTGATGTAGACCTGACCAAATGTAAACTGTGTCAACAAAACTATTTGCACACCCACCGTCACTATGTGATGGAGTGTGAAAAGATACATAAATTCAGAGACAATTCTTTAACAAACGTTCAAGAAATTTGTAGTTTGTTCAAAATGTATTCGGCAAGAGATGCAGCAGTTTCAGATGATAGCTAAATTGTCCTGGTTTCTAGGAACTGTGTGCATGAGTCTGTGGAAACACTGTCCCCACTCTGAACACCGCAAAGTCTGTGCTTATATGAATATACGTCACATACACATATTTTATACCACACATCTAATTTGTACCTTTAGTTCTTTATTGTTCACTTACATACTCAATGAAACTTGCAACAACTACATTTGAGGAAGGATTCCAGAAGCAGTGATTTGTTGCAGAACCACTGTGATTTCTTTTTTTCTGGTATCATTCTTTATGTTGTACATAAAGCAGTTAATAATTATTTATTTACTTATTTATATAAATACAAGAAAGTACATTGGGGGTTAAGAGAGAACATAGAGTTTAAGTTGAAATTACAATCTTGTAGAGCCACTAGCACACATAGCGTTTTGGGCAAGTCCTTAGAGCAAATCCTTAAACTAACAGAAAGTTTTAGAGAAATAAGAGTAAAATTTATAAAAAATGTTTAACAGGTACATTACAGCTTTACTTTACAAGTACAGATGATTTTAAGTAGGATAATTACAGAAAATTGTCAAAAAAAAATGTTTACAGGTACAATGCACGAATTTTTGACACAAAAGCAGATAAGAACAATACACAATAATGAACAAGGAATCCTAAGTACAATTAGGAAAACATATCAGTCATACATTGGATCACTGAAGCACAATATGAGGATCATTACAAGTAGTGCAGTAGAATATGCACTCAATACAACAACCATGATAACAGATGATCTAAGATTACAATGGTGAAGAATATGGCTTAGGTACAATGAATGGGGGATTGGGTAGCACTAGAAACAGTGTGAAGATAAAGCTCTAAGTAGAAAACTATGAAGATGAAATTAGGTACTTTTTTTTGGGGGGAATAAGGCAAAAGTTGGACAGCTTTTCAGTTCATTAGGGAGTAAGTTCCATAGACTAAGTCCCTTTATTTGCATAGAGTGTTTACACAGATTTAGTTTGACTCTAAATATCAAAGAGATATTTATGTCTGGTGTGGTGATTATGTGTTCTATTACATCTGTCCAGGAAGAGTTTCAGAACAGGGTTTGCACTTAAGAAAAGGGTTTTATAAATGTAATTAGCACAAGAGAATGTATGGAGTAAATTTATGTTTAGCATGTTTAGGGATTTAAACAGGGGAGCTGTGTGTTGTCTGAAAGCAGAGTTTGTTATTATCCTTATAGCAGATTTCTGATGGGTGATGATGGGCTTGAGGTAGTTTGCAGAGGTTGAGCCCCAAGCACAGATACCATAAGTAAGATAGAGATAGATAAGTGCATAATAGAGTGAGAGGAGAGCAGAGTAGGGTACATAATATCTGATCTTAGAGAATATACCAACAGTTTTAGAAACCTTTTTAGTTATGTGTTGAATGTAGGTGCTGAAGTTGAGTCTCTTGTCTAGGTATAGGCCAAGGAACTTTCCATCATTTTTATTGCTAATGTTTACATTATCTATCTGAAGCTGAATTGCATTCAATGATTGCAATTCAGCTGAAGCTGAATTGCAATCTTTATTGTGTTCTTTAAAGGTAAGGTCTTCCGACATGAGTACACCCAGATCCTTTACATTGCCTTTTCGTTCTATGTTATGATTTGCCTGAGTTTTGTACGTGGTTTATATCCATATATGCAAATTATTTACACAATTGATTGGCTTGTTTGCAGACCGTCACACCCCCTGAGGTAGTCATCACATAACTATAAAAAGGCATATATCTTCACTTTCACTTCTGTTATATTTATGCTAAAGTATTAGCATGCAGCTTATATTTCTGTCCTTATAATGATATAGAAAACTTCATTTATTACAATATCTAAATTAAATTAACATTGATCTTCAAAAGGTCATAGTTCCCATCGGTTGGGAGAGCATCAGCCAAGAATCCTGGTTTAAAATATGAATATCTTTCCTGTCTAATAAGGTATAATCTCTGTGATGGATTCACAAAAACTGTTTTATCTCTGCCTTTCTGATAATATATACAAATATAAGCTTTATTTGTGAATCTCTATTATTAAAGCAATATATCAGAGAGCGCGTAGGGTTCGTGTTTTATGAGCGAAAAAGACGAGTAGTTAGAGTAGCGAACGCATACCAATGAATAACGTTAGTATCTATATAACAAAATTATTATCCTTTGGAGTTGACATAACTTCCAGACACATTTTTTAAATAAATATTAAATGTTTTGTGGCTATTTATGAAAGATATTATTACAAATACCCATTGTACTTGTTAATATCACCAATTAAATTTGCAACAATTTGACGAAAGAAGTGCGACGACTGGATCACCGTGAACAGGAGGCTGATATGCCAGCAAACACTCTCCTGGCGACCATATATCTTGGATAAGTCACTCCACAATATTGTCGCTTGGACCGTCGACTTCCTATGACATCACCTGCTACATATTTACTTCTAATTTCGTTATGAAATTAGATTATTTCAGAGTAAAAATAAGTTTGATCATGTTCTGCATTCAGCACCAACATTATAGTGAGTAAATATACCATATTTCTTCATTACTTACATAATGCTAGGAGGATTTGGGTAAATTTGGGTGGATTTGAGTAGATTTGGGTAAGTCTATGGACCCAGACTAAGAGTGTGGGTTGGGTATCTAATTTTCAGCCACTCTATTGTGACTTACTGTCTGTAAAAAACAATTATAAAAAGTAATACCTGGAATCTGTTTGGCCCATCCAATGGTGGAGACCAGTTCCCTGTCATATAGGTCAGCCAAGGTGGATATGGTCAGGAAGTCTGCATCGGAGACAGTCATGTCAGGCAGAGCATAAAGGGAATCTGGTTCACATGCAATGAGGGATTTCAGCAACTTATTATCTGGAATAAAATTGAAATTAGATTAGAATGTTGAAAACTCTATAATTACCTAAATATAATTACCAAAGTGTAGTTACAGGATGAGAGCTATGCTCATGGTGTCCCATCTTCCCAGTACTCTTTGTCATATGATGCTTAGAAACTATTGACGATTTTGGCCTCCTCCGCCTTCCCACTTGTTCCAACCGCAAAAGTGAACTATCTAAAGTTATTTTGGCAGCTTTGTTTCTCTAGTTTGAGCCTATGTACCCTTGTTCGTGAAAATACAGTTTTCAAACATTCTTCTTTGTTAATTTTCTCTATGACTGTTACTACTTTGTGCATAGTGATCATATCACCTCTTTCTAGGAAGAGCCCCTTGAGGCTCCCTGAAGCTATTATGCTGATCCAGGCCATACTACTAGGTGTCATCAGTTGCGGAGTTCTTATTGGCCTACCAAGGACCATGAGCCAGAACCTGGTTCCCTTAGAGAGGCATGGGGGAGCAGTGACCTTGTGAAACCTTGCATTTAAAGTTATTTATGTCTGCCACCATCAGGGAAGCACCCATAAAGTCAGCAAAACAAAACAGACCACTGCATGATCAGAAAAGAGACAGCCTCAAAACTCCCCCCAACAATGCACACAAACTATCAATAATTAACACTATAGCACTCTTCAATCGCAACTTGCGTTTGATTTTTTCTCTCGAGTCCGAGCATCGGACATGATGTGCATCCGATAAAAAAATATTTGTATAAAATTCATTTATTATCCGATCGACTTCAGGATAGTTTCAAAATGAGCGCCTTTAGAGTGTGCACAATTTGATACCAAAATAAAAGATGTAGCACCAAACTTGATGTCAGAACACTTGAAAGATTATAAATACGGTTTTGGTCAAAATTGTAAAATATTTGTTAAAATTCTATTTATTGTACTATTATTATGGGACTAGTTTAAAAATGCGTATCTTTAGATTGCGAACAATTTGATACCAAAATGAAAGATGTAACACGAAAATTTATGTCAGAACACTGGAAAGATATAAATAATTTTGTGATGATGAGCGTCCAAAATTAAAATATTTGTTAAAATTACATTTATTGATCTATTATTATGAGACTAGTTTTAAAATACGTGCCTTTTTATTGTGAACAATTTGATATCAAAATGAAAGACGAAACACGAAAATTGATATTATTAAACTGAACGAGTATACACATTTGGCTGCGATGTGCAAATTGGTGCTCGTTCACTGGTAACTTTAGGCTTTGCTAAAGGGAGTCATGCTTGGCTTTTGGACAATATATGCATATAAAACCCCTGCAGGGAATTTAATTGCCAACACAATGATACCAGAACGGGCCATGTAGCACGAGAATTAAGCTGAGAAACTGAAACGCGTACACACATTATACTGATTTTGTGTGCTCACAGGTAACTTTTGCTGAATTTAGGCTTTGCTGTGGGGAGTCACGCTTGGCTTTTGGACCTTATATGCATATACATCTGTAGGGAATTCTGTTGCGATCACAATGATACCAAAACAAACGACGTAGCACGAGAATTAAGGTGAGAAAACTGAAACGAGTATACACATTTAGTGTTGCTGAGCGCTCGCCCGCACCACAAGGAGTAGTTTGTGCATACGCAAGAGGTAGTTCGTACAGACGTGCGGAGTGCACACCCGGGGCATGAAAGTGTTAATGAAACTAGTGTGCACTAGAATGCACCACCTCATCCACCCCCCCTTGTTTGGGGAAACAATGGAGGCAGGCCGAGTTAGGTGGCTACCTCTACTACCAGTTTTTAATCACTTAACTGCACCAACCAAGTATTCTCAGTCGGCGGGAAACTGCGCCAACCAAGAAAACTCTTTTTGATTTTGCGTACCCATTCTAAATGTGTGCAAGGTTGGTTGTGTACAAAATGGACTCTTAGGACCTCCAGTGAAAGGCAGCCATCTTGGAAAAAAATCCCAGAATGCCCCTAGGGCTGCTGGCTGGGTAAGTACCGAGTGAGCAACTGTGGGTAGCGAACGCACCTCTGGCTCCCAAACACCTGTCCGTCACGGTGTCGAAAGATAACGCCCTGTTGGTGAAATTCAAACCTTATTGTTTGAAGAACATAAGGGTCATAATATTGGTGAAGCTAGGTGCAATAAGGACCTAACACAAAGGTTGGATGCAAGTGATACAGCACTTACGAGGACGATACAGTAAGCGTATCCAGTTGTAGCTCTGAGCGCCACCCTTGCAATCCTATGCTATCTCCAATTTACTTAGATGATACATAGATGAATCGTTTTCTGCATTCAGTGATGATGCATCTGATACAAGTAGCATAGATGTACAGTGTTAGAGACTTCCATGGTGGTGTTTTCCATAGATATTTTCAAGAATAGCTGAATCTCTTCCTGACTGACGGACACTCTTTGAGGCTAGCCGAATCTCTTTCTGACTGATGGACACTCTTTGTGGCAAGCTGAATCTCTTCCTGTGTGGGGCCATACAAAGCGATCTTTTCAAGACTACCTTACAAATTGATCTTCTCCTATAATCTTTTCAATATTACCTTATGCTTTATAAACTTGGCTACATACAACCTACAAGTACTAAAGACAAGGGTGTATGTGAGTGCATTATTTGCAAGCACACAGAATGAAGAAACAGGAAGCGAAAATCTATCTGTACCTGGTGGAACGAGAGCGAAGTCGCGCTGTGCACCATGGACTACTTTGTTGATTATTACTCACTTCCGAAGTACTGAGTGTGTAATACAGTGTGTTACTGTGTAAATAGTGTGTGAAACTGTAAATATTGTAATTTTAGTGAATTTTTAACAAGTAATATTGCGACAATAAACATTTGTTGTGGACACATGTATCACAGTTCCATGGAACATTACGAACATTCTACTGTATACATATTGTAAAGGACACAAATATGCACCATATACAATAAAAAACAAATAAAACTGCATTGGAAATACATAGAACAAATAATTGAAAATATATTTGTGACAACACCCAGTGCTTGAATGACCCGCACGACCATGTCTGGGCAAGTCGTGCACGGGCGACCAGGCCCTGATGACGTCACAGCACACCTTGTCCACATCCCCACAGCTAAAGTAAGTGAAATTTGGTATTTATTTTTACATAGACATGTTCAGGGAAGGGAATTTATCATTTTACAAAGAAAAAATAATTTTTTTAGAACACTTTATTTCATGCGCACAGGGAGAATTTTATAATAAACTCGGCGCAGCACGGTGGTTAAGATGATGTATCATGGTGCAGGTTGCCAGTTCACCCTGGCTACAGTCTCCTGTTTTTGCTAAGTGAGTTTGCCTTTGAGGCTATTCTTATACACGTTTGTGTACCGTTAGCCAGGACTTATAGTGAGCTTGAAGCTACATGTGCTCATGGTTTTCTTCCCTGTGCTCCCTTTAAGTGTTGTCTTTGCACAGTTAGAATTGTCTTCCCTGGTGTGATCAGGATACACTCTCTTAGGGGGTCTCCTCGCTTGGGGTTGCCCTTCAGGTAAGCTGGTGGTTTTGGACTGTCTGTCTTTCCTTGGGTTGAGAGTGTTTTGGCTGGTGGGGTGCACTGTGGTTTGAGAGACCTAATCTGCACTTCGAGGCAGTCCCTTCAGCTTATATGGCTGGTTGGGTCTATGTTTCTCCCTTGTTTTTCCTCATTCTCCATGGTCTGGTGCCTTGAAGAGTTTGCAGTCCTTGTTTTTCATTCTTGGTCCTTTCAGGGCTTTTTGTGTCATATTTACTGCATTCCACTTTGGGATTTAGTCATGCCATTCCTGCCTCCATTAGGTTAACCTAGAATCTGGGGTACAAATCATCTCCTTTTGGTCTCTTGCCCCTTATTTATTTATTTATATACAAGAAGGTGCATTGGGTTTATGAGAATACAGAGCATTGAAGTTTACATTCTTGTAAAGCCATGAGGGCCTGATAGCTGAGTGGACAGTGCTCTGGACTCATAATTCTAGGGTCCAGGTTTGATCCCCAGTAATGGCAAAAACAAAATGGGCAGAGTTTTTCACCCTGATGCCCCTGTTACCAAGCAGTAAATAGGTACCTAGGAGTTAGACAGCTGTTACGGGCTGCTTCCTGGGTAATTACCTAAGTGTAGTTACAGGATGAGAGCTACGCTCGTGGTGTCCCGTCTCCCCAGCACTCTTTGTCATATAATGCTTTGAAATAACTGACAGTTTTGGCCTCCACCACCTTCTCACTTAACTTGTTCCAACCGTCTACCGCTCTGTTTACAAAAGTGAATTTTCGTATATTTCTCCGGCAGCTTTGTTTCGTTAGTTTAAATCTATGACCTCTTGTTCTTGAAGTTCCGGGTCTCAGGAATTTTTCCCTATCAATTTTATCGATTCCTATTACTATTTTGAACGTAGTGATCATATCGCCTCTTTTTCTTCTATCTTCTAGTTTTTGCATATTTAATGCCTCTAACCTCTCCTCGTAGCTCTTGTCCTTCAGTTCTGGGAGCCACTTAGTGGCATGTCGTTGCACCTTTTCCAGTTTGTTGATGTGCTTCTTAAGATATGGGCACCATACAACCGCTGCATATTCCAGCTTTGGTCTAATAAAAGTAGTGAACAATTTCTTTAGTATTTCTCCATCCATGTATTTAAAAGCAATTCTGAGGTTTGAAAGTGTAGCATAGGCTCCGGGCACAATGTTCTTAATGTGGTCCTCAGGTGACAGTTTTCTATCTAGAACCACCCCTAGATCCATTTCTTTGTCAGAATTCTTCAGAGATTTCTCACATAATTTATAGGTTGTGTGGGGTCTATGTTCTCCAATTCCACATTCCATAACATGGCATTTATTCACATTAAATTCCATTTGCCAAGTGTTGCTCCATATACTTATTTTGTCCAGGTCTCCTTGAAGGGCATAACAATCATCTAGGTTTCTTATCTTCCCTATTATCTTAGCATCATCAGCAAACATGTTCATGTAATTCTGTATTCCCACTGGCA